ACTTTTTAGATATTCATCATTTTTTTTATTTTTTTTTTGGTACAGGGACCTTCCAGTTTCCGGATCTAGATTTGCTGAATAAATTTAAAAAAAAATTGAACAAATCGGAATACAAATTTTAGCTAATATATACTTGGTACCTATAAAAAACTGGTTCGAATGGTTCGGACTGTTGTAGCTAAAAAACTTAATGGTTGTATTTTTTAATAAGTTGATGATGATTTGGTTCCTTAGGGTATGTTTGTTTATGAAATAATTTGCTCACATTTATTTCCTCTTCATAATCTTACTCAACTTAACTCAACCTCACTACCATTAATATTATTTATATAATTAAATAATATTAATCAATCATTCTTACATATACATCAACTTTAATGAGAAAATTGCAATTGTAGTCCAGTAACTTAGGTTGTTTCCCATTTTAGTCCACTAACTTAGGCCGATCCAAATTTGGTCCAAAAACTCCCAAAAGTTAGTTAAATCAGTCCAATTGGACTAAAATTGGACTGAAATTGAGCAATCAATTGGACTGAAATTGGACTGATTTAACTAACTTTTGAGAGTTTTTGGACCAAATTTGGATCGGCCGAAGTCAGTGGACTAAAATGGGAAACAACCTAAGTTTTTGGACTAACTTTTGAGAGTTTTTGGACCAAATTTAGATCGGCCTAAGTTAGTGGACTAAAATGGGAAACAGCCTAAGTTACTGGACTAAAATTGCAATTTTCTCCAACTTCACTATTCGTCAACTCACATAATTTTAACCAGAGACGTAGGCATTTGTGGACCAGTGTGGGCCTAGGCCCACTGGAAAGAAAATATTAAATTGGCTTGCCCATTAAGGAAAAAAAAAGCCCAATACCCAAATAACTAATATACTAATATAGTAATATAAAAAAGATTTAACAACAATAAACATTAAAAAAAATCAATAAAAGTGTCCTGCGATTTATGCAGTCACAGAGAGAGAAAGAGTGAAAAGAGAGGAAAGAGGAGAGGGAAAAAAGAGAAAAGAGGGAAAGAGTTTATCAATTTTTGGTCCAATTATTCGAGAAGACGACTTGCGAGGTAAATTTTTGGGTGGAATTAAGAATTATTCTACATTATTTTTTAGGTAATGGTAAATATATTCTTTTTATGTAGAAATAAGAAATTAAATCCCCAAGGTACTTATAGCTCTTTAAAGTGTGACATGACAAAATAGAGAATTTTATTAATTGTAAATTTATAAATTATTTTTTGTATATCAGGTATGGAGAGATATTTTCCAAAAGGCCTCGTCAACAAGGTGCTTGTGAAAATGTCTCAAAAGGAGATACTTTGAATCCAAATAGATTTGAGGAAAATTCTGTTACCACTGGGATAAAGAAAATACGACCAAAAATTTAATGGTGATCGAGGAGTTCGATTCTTCTCAACTTCCCTCATATCCTAGATTGAGAATTCCAATCTCAAAGTACAGTCCTAAGATTAGAGAATTCCAATCTCAAGGTAAAGTCCTAAGATTAGAGACCAAGTTCGAATAGCATATTTGAAGAAAGGCCCTTGTGAACCGTTTGATCACCATTTTCCCATGACGAAAGCCTCAACGTCATCAACAAAGGCCAGAAGATTTATTCCTGGTTGGTTCACTGAACATGAGTGGTTGGAGTATAATATTTCTAAAGATGCTGCATATTGTCTATTGTTAACTTTTAAACCAAATAGAGGAAAACAATCAAGAGGGGAAACATTTGTTACAGAGGGGTTCAGATCTTGGAAAGAAAAATCGAGACTTGACGTTCATGTTGGGAAACATGACGGTGAATACAATCAAGCGCGCATGAACTGTGATGCACTGATGAATGAAAATGTGCACATTCAAACAACTCTAGAAACACAGTCTATACAAACGAGGGATGATTAACGCATTCGGTTAACTGCATCTCTTGATTGTGCACGACATTTGTTGCGATTGGGGCAACCTTTCCGAAGTCATGATGAATCGAAGGATTCTCTTAATCTAGGTAATTTTCTTGTCACTCTGGAATTTTTAAGAGTTCATAATGATGGTATTGCTTCAGTGACAATGGAAAATGCTCCTAAAATTTGCATGTTAACAGCTCCTTGCATTTTGAAAGATTTATCTTATGCTTGCTCCGTAGAAACTGTTAATGTGATTTTAAAAGTGTCGGGGATTCTTTTTTCTCTATTTTGGTTGATGTCTCGTGACATATCGAATAAAGAACAAATGTCTATCATTTTGAGATATGTAGATTCTTGTGGACATGTAAAAGAATATTTTGTTTGAGTTGAACATGTCACAAGTAATACGACAATTTCTCTTTAAGATGCCATTGACAAGATGTTGTCGAGACATAATTTGAGCATATTTAGATTGCGAGGGCAAGGTTACGATGGGGCTAGTAATATGCAAGGGAGGCTTAATGGTTTAAACACACTTATTTTAAATGAGAATCCAAGTGCACATTATGTGCATTGTTTTGCTCATCAGCTCCAACTAGCCCTTGTAGTTGTGGCTACAAAGAATCTTCCAATTGCTGATTTTTTTTTTCGGGTAGTTTCTCAATTGATAAATGTTGTTGGGGGTTCTTCTAAACGTTGTGATCTTCATCTTCTTTGTGAAAAATAAATGATCTATATTGATGGAGCACTTGAAAGGGGTGAGCTTTCAAGTGGACGGGGTCTAAACCAAGAAACTAGTCTTCAACGGCCGGGAGATACACGTTGGGGTTCGCATTATAGATCTTTGATTAGCTTGATTTCTTTATTTTCTCTCGTGGGTGATGTGTTTCATGTGATCTATGCACATGAATATTCTACTTCTATCCAAAAGGTAGAGGTGGAGATACTATTGAAATCCATTCACTGCTAATTTGTGCTAAATTTGCATATGATGAAAATCATCTTGGGAATATCGAATGAGTTGTCTCAGGCAATACAAATGAGAGACCAAGATATTGTGAATGCAATGGATTTGGTTAGAGTTTGTAGATATCGACTTCAAGAGTTGAGAGAGAGTGGATGGGATTTATTATGTGACGAGGTTTGTCAGTTTTGTGAGAAACATTTTATTGATGTCCCCCATATGACTAGCATGTTTATTCGCTTTGATCCTCGCGGTCGTCCACTTCGTAATGCACCAAAAATAACGAATTTGCATCATTATCGAGTTCATTTATTCTTTGCCGTGATTGATTTGCAACTACAAAGTTACATGATCGTTTCTTGGAGGCTAGTACGCAGTTGCTACTTTGTATAGCTTGTTTATCTCCACGAGATTCTTTTTCTGCTTTTGACAATGGCAAATTCGTCAAGATGGCCGGGTTTTATCCTCAAGACTTTTCTATATCCGATGTTCATTCTTGAGGATCAGTTGCAGAACTATATTGTTGATATGCGCTTCAACAATTTGTTAAAAGAATTGAAAGGACTCGGTGAACTTGCAGAAAAGTTGGTGCAAACGAAGAAGCACAAAGTGCTTCCTTTGGTTTACAAACTTTTAACTTTAGCGTTGGTTTTACCGGTTGCAATAGCTAGCGTGGAACGAGTATTTTCCGCAATGAATATTATCAAGGATAGATTAAGCAACCGAATGAGTGATGATTGGTTAAATGATAGGCTACTAGTTTATGTAGAAAATAAAACTTTCTTGAAAATTAGTAATGATGTTATTATCGAGCAATATCAAGCCATGAAAACTCGTAAAGAACAACTATGAGTATTTGCACTTTTTCTTATAATATTCTATATTTTTTTATTAACTAATTACGCCTCACCTCGTTATATTTGCTAGATCCGCCCCTTATTTTAACTACATATCATTCTCAATAATTTTCAATCATTTATCTCCTACTTTTATACCAGATTAATATCATTATTTTATTTTAAATATTATTTTAATACATTAATAAAATCACACTAACAACTAACCATACAACACTTTTCAAATTTAAATCTAGTTAATCAAAATAACTTGTTTTGAGCAAATTATTTCATAAACAAGCATGTCCTTAATAATTAAATTAGAGAATATTTCGTAGTTAATTCCTGTAGAAAATGAAATATAATTGAAGAGATATTTTCATTCTTAGATGACAGTGGATACAAGAACAATACAATATA